ATCGCCAATATACCAAGAATCTAGTTTGTGTACTGCTGCTCGATAATGACCACTAGTGGCCTCCATGCCTAGGTGAATGATTACTGCCTCAGTTGTGTAGGTACAGAAGGAAACTCGGGAAGTGTGATCTAGGAAGACAGGAATCTGAACTTGCTGTGGAATGGCAATGCAGTTGTGATCCTTTGCTTCACCTGCAAATCTCGGTAAGGCTAAGCACACCTGTTGTGCAGCTTCTATGAGAGCACATGAGCGCTCCTGAGACGACCATGCCACTAGCATGTCCTGCAGGTTGGGCTTGATCGCCGTGGCGAGATGAATGGGAGAACCCCCTTCTTCATCGACTATCACACCCTCTGGAACTGATGCTCGAGTTTCCCACTGTCCAAATTTTGATGCAGAGAGATTCCGAAACACTTGCTGCAGGAACTCTGCAGAATCATGCTGTCCTCCGTCAAAGAGCCAGCCCGTGGTGAGCTCCGAGAAGACTCTGTGTTCAGGGGTTATTCTCGCGAGTAGACTGATCCGAGATGCCTCGTGAAAAGGCGCCTCTGTGGGATCAGATAGCCAGTGCAGACACTGTAGACCTGAGTTGGCATAGCAGTGGTTGCGAGTGTTGGCTAGCAGGAGAAAGCCTTCCAGTCTAAATTCGGGAAGGGGAATACCTGGCATTGAATCTGTGGGCTTCTTTGTGGCTGTCTTCGCCGAGGTCGTGGGCCTTGCTCGAGTATATTCTCGGGGCTGCTTACTGAGCTGCTGACGCGCTACCTCCTGCAGTACGTGCACCTGCAGTAGTGGAACGCACTGCTGAGCATGTCTACCCGGGGCATCCACACGGAGTTTGCAATAGCGACAGCTATCTCCTTTGTGAAAGAAGACCTTGAACTGAGCAAGTCTTGGTTGGAGAGTTTTCTCAAGCTTGGCCATCACTTCAGGATGCTGCTTGTTTAGGTGCTGTTTGGCTCCTTTCTGACCAACAAGGACCTGACCGCAGAGTGCACAGTGCTCCATCAGGTAATCATGGAACACCGGATTTCGAGCTGCTCCTTCTGGATTTTCCTGAGCATCAGACTGTAGACTTTCTGTAAGTGAAATCCGGTTCTGGGCTTCTAGAGGGAGCTCTTCCTGCTGTCGAAGCAAGAGCTCTACCCGAGGACATGTAGAAGCTTCGACGTGTTTGCGCAGAGAGAACACTGTTCGGAATGTTGCTCTACAGGCGATGCAAGTTGCTGACCCTGGCATTGAATGCAAAATAGGGTCAAATCTGGGTCCTTTCAAGCTTTGCTGCGAATCTGGGTGGGCCTTCTGCAGGTGGCGACGGAGTGCCCCGGTACCAGAGAGACATGCTCCACACTCGCCGCAGGTCAGGATCTTATCCTCTACTGATTGCGAGGAGAAGTCAATGGCAAGGCCTTCCAGAGCCTGGCTGATTGCCTCAGCGCGCAGCTTGTAGTGTGGGAGGAGCTGAGGATCTGAGTGTTGCTGTCTCTTAATGAACTGTGTAGCCTCTTTTGCAGCTGCTCCTTCACGTGAGGAATCCGTACTCTCCGGAGTAACTCCTGGTTGGATTCCTTCGTTTCCTGGGAGTAGCTCCGCAGGACAAACCGAAGTTGGTACATCATGTGTGAATGGAGCTTCTGCAATCCCTGCTGTGTCAGTCCTACCACGTGAAGGGCATACAGAGCAGAGGCCCACGCAGTTATTGTCCAAATTGACAGACGACGTCTGTCTGATAGGACTCGATGGTTCCTAACTGCATGGGCGACTTCTGACATTGCTAGCTTACTGGATGACAGCCGATGTTTAAGGGTCTTCATTTCATAGTCATGATAAGAAAGAATGACCCCCAGGTATGGGACCTGGTACCGCAGCGATATCAACTTGCCCGAAGGGAGTTCCACAAACTTCTCTCCATCTACCTGGCGAAATAGCTTTTTCCTAATTGTCGAGGCTGAACCTCCTTGTAGCTGCAGCAGTATTGCTGACTTGGACGGATTGACCTTGAACCCAAGTTCAACCAATTGATCCAGAAGAAGGTCGCAGTACCCTAGTGCTGTAATGAGGCCAGACTCAGACTCGAAATGCGACTGAATCAAGCTGTCATCCGCATACATGGTGAGAAGTTTAACTAGTTCGGGGGGGCTGATTTTTCCAGAGAGCTTCCTAAAGAGAAGCCCGGATGCAAAGGCGAATAGGGAAGGTGCAAGCTTGCATCCCTGCTTGATTCCCCTGCGTGTGGCTATCTCAAAGCTCTGATCGCTGGCTGTCATCTTGTACAAGGCTTTGATGTGGAGATGGCCCACCACCTCTATAAGAAGAGGGTCTGCTTGTTCAGCTTCCAGGGCTTCTCTTAATCGTAGCCTGTCCACAGTGTCAAAAGCTTTGCTCATGTCAACGCTCATCGTGAGACTGCCCCTGAGCTTAAGCCCCTGTTGTCCCTTACCAGCCGCTCTAGTTGTAAGGGCCTGCCTGAACCTGGCCTGATCCACATGTGTGAGGGCCTTACAGATCGCCTCCTCTGTGCCCCTACCTGGTACGAAGCCAAACTGAGAGACTCCTTGCATTGCTTGATGGAGGGTGGACTTGAGTCTCTGCCTCACAAGTCCTGCCAGGACCTTGCCCTCAGGTGCTATCACCCCGATCGGACGGAGTGATGTTGGCTTATCTGGCTTCTTGGGGGGCTTTGGGAGCCAAGAGATCTGTGACGAGGTGACGCTGTCCGAAAGCCTTCCTGCAGTGACCTCCCTATTGAGAGTGTCCGAGATAAGCCGAATAGCGTTGGGGCCTAGGGAGCGCCAAGCTACTATGGGAGGACTTTCTTTAGGAACTGCTTTGCCAAGCTTTATAGTGCCTAGCTGTTCTTGAACTTCTTGCTCGGTGATGTGCAGGCTGCCTTGTATCCCTGTGAGCGGGAAGTCGTCCCCTGCTCCAAACAGTTCAATGGAGTATTCCTCTAATTGTCTACGTTCTTCCTTGGCTGTTAGGAAGCGACCCTCTGAGTCACGTAGCTGAACTCTTTCCTGAGGCCTCCCCGACCGGAAGCGCTTGATCACCTTGTAGAGGGAATGACTCCCGTCTTGCTTGGATTTAAGCTCTGCCTGCTCAAGTTGTTCATCTATTTCCTGTCGTCGCCTTTCCTGCTTCTGACGCTTTGCTACCCTCGCCTGTGCACTTTGCTGAGACAGCGACAGCCAGCAGCGAAATACCATTCGGACCTGCAACTCCGGCAAGAACTCTGCTAAGACCTTGACTGACATTGGGAGTGAGCGCAACACTGTGCGCTCTGCCCAAATGCTGAGATCTGTTCTTTGTGCTGCTCCCTTTCTCTTGGGAAAGTGAGTCGCGAGGGCTGAGTTCATTGCTTGATGGAGACTCTGCCAGGTTTGGGGATGATCCTGAAGGAGGGAGTCTACCTCCCTGGCAAATGCCTGTATTTTCGGGGAACGGTGTCTGTAGCAGTCCTCCATTGCCTGCTGGTCATAGGGTTTTGAGGCTTGGGCGGAGTATCTCCTGCTGTGCCTCAGTTTACCAAGAAGGGGGAAATGCCTACTACCATCCCTCCAGGATGCCACTGGGAAGGTCCTTAGTGGCCGGCAAAACCTGGCAGGGCCTTGGGACTGTGCAATCCTGACAAACGAGAAGTCAATCTGTGAAACAGAGTTGCCTTGTTCGTGGGTGGCTGGTCTATGCACTCCCCAAGTGTTGGTTGCGACTAGCTGGTGCTCCGACAGTAGGGTCTGGAGATCCTTAGATCCGCGATGCCCTAGTCTGCAAGCCTGGATCGTGCATGGCCCTACGTGTTTGTTGTCGGTCTTGAGCGAGGAGTTAAAATCTCCTAGCACAAGGAGAGTGTTGCGATTGGGAACAGCTCGGATGGACTTACTTAGGGCGTGAAGGGTCTGCTTCCGGGTTTCCTTATTCTGAGCGACTGTCTCCTTAGAGCGCCAAACGTATTGATAGCAGCTGAAGACGTCCAGTGAGATGCCGTTGCTCGGCACCCGGACCTGGAGAACTCTTCCTGGAACAACCTCGTTGTAGCGAAGATCCTGTGACTTGCACAGCGTGGAGTGCACCATTATGAGGACCCCGGCTCCCTTCTCCCCTGTGGAACCAGAGCTGATCACGTGCCAACCTGACTTGCTGAATTGCCATGAGCCCCTCCAGTGTGTTTCCTGAATTGCTACCAGCTTCACATCCTGAAATGCTGCACTTTGCAGTACGGAGAGTAACTCTTCCCAAACTGCTGTTGTGAGAGATCCTGCGTTCCAGGATAGATAGCTGAGATTCTTATCTTCTGTAAATTTTGAAGGCCGAGTCCTTCTGCCGGGATTGGTGGGCTTTACATGTGCCGGAGCAACTCCAAGCTCTGTTGACGACATCGTCCTTCCCTTGTAGACCGCACTACCTTCAAGCAGAGCTTTACGTGCTGCCCTTTGATAAGAGCGTTTACCCTTCCCTTTAGGAACGGGCTGATGCTTGGTCGAACCACTAGGCTGTTTCGCAGCACTCATGTTGAGTACGGCTCCTGTCGGCTTCGCAATACCGACAACCCTCACCTCTGGGAGATGTTAGAGAGCTGTAAATCTAATACTCCCTCCCGGACTTGGGACCGGGACTGCTCAGGCGCTGACAAATGCCATGGCAAGAAAGGAAAAAGGCAACTGTACTAGCCTGACCTTTCCTGAGCCGAGAGGCTTACCACGACCACAACCACAACCACAACCACAACAACAACAACAACAACAGCAATAAGAAGAAGAAGAACAATAATAACAATGAAGCAAGACATAATTTGAACGACAACACGAGCCGCAAACGAAACTAATGCAATGGTTTCCCATTCCAGTATGAGCGCTTGGGATAGGGTTTTGCTGGGGGGACAACTGGCAATACTAATACAGTGGTCAGTATCATCATCTGGGAGGGGGCCAACAATAATGATAAGAAGAGGAGGGGACTGGGGGGGAAATCTGGGTACATAACTTGACACCGGCAAGCCCAGCCTGACAGCTCCGGAAGGCTAGGAGAGCGCTGGCAGCGGACCTCTCGAGACACAGCTTTCTTCGCTGACCGCTTGGTGGAACTGTAGCGCCGCCAACAAACTGGCTCTGCGCGTCTCAAATTGGTGGCAACGCACTGCTTCGACGGGACTTCTGGCTCCCAAATCGAATCCGAATTGAGGGGCTTGGGCCGCTTGGAAAGGTCTGCACAACCGGTGCATCTCAAGCACCATGCTTGCCTGGAAGTCGTCGTTCTGGCCGAAAGCCTGCGGCTGCAGTGGGAGGCTGCTGGATAGATCCATTGTGGAATGCACTCTGCCTGGCCCTGCCGCAAAGAGCCGTTCCTACTCAGCGACTTCTTGAAGTCCCGGACGACTTCGTCCTGAGAAAAAACTCCAGGTTTCGTTTGCACCTACCCACGTCACAAGCTGCTCCCTCCTCGGCCATGGCTGCTCGCCCTTCGTTTCGGAGGCAACGAGAGTGCCTAAGTCGCAGCTTGCATGTCTAAGCTACCGAGAGAGTGGAAGAGCCTGGCCAGCGCGGGCTACATGGCGGTATGAGCAAGAATCAACAACATCGTCGAACAGCCTGCTGGTCTGCTATGGTCTGCTGAAGTTCTGGCACCTTCCGGTTCGAAAAGAGTTGAGTCCAGCCGAATGCAAGGGATAACTTGCTGCCTGTTGTTGAGAAGAAGTTGACTAATGCGTGGCAAGACTCTGCTCTGCTCTGCCCTTTTGCTTGAGCCACTCTCTCGGCTCCACTTCGGGCTTTGCAACAACGCGACCCTTTGGCGTCCGCACCGCATTTGCAGTTTAAATCTCCCTCTCGACCTTGTTTCACAACTAAGCAAGATGGCCAAGTGATCGGAGATTTAAAAGGAACTGCATCGTCCTTGACACGGCAGCGTCGACAGGCATCTGAGCACTGCAGAGTATACTCTCAACATTCTTGTCGTGGCTCGTGCTCCAGATATGCGAGGATTTGATGTCGAATCACTTGCAAGTACCAGGTTTGGGATGCAAAGCCGAGTTCGCGCCACCTAGACCTCAGAGGTGGCAGCATAGGACCACCAAGGCTTTGTGGAACCGCACAGTAGTCGGACAGAGTGGAGCACTACCAAGGCATCACAAGGCCATGGCCTCTCTTCAACACGGCTGCTCTGTCCGATCTGAGTCCTCAGATTCCTTCTGTGAAACTGGAACGTGCGTGTCCGATGAATCTACTGCTGGTCAGATGCAATCAGGTGCCAGACTGTGACTCATCCGCTGCTGTCGAATGGTCCTCATCTTGATCTGGTACCTGAAAACAAGCAGCATGCATGGCATGCATCGCAGGACAGCAGGCCAAAGCTGCGAATCCGTGCAGGGAGCACAGAACCGCTACGATGCCCGTCGGAAGAAAGAGCAGAATGCAGGTGACTAAGGGCAGGTTCCAGTACCTGACGGACATCCGGAAAATGAACTAGAAGTCTTTGCCTGAAGGAATGTGCTTCACATCTGCGAATCTATAATGATGCCCCGTGAAGCACAGCCAGCCCAGCACCTCAACCTCGCAGTACGGGCACCATCTCCCGGTAGGCATCTCTGCCGACGGGATAGAGGCAAGCGGCGCCTCCTTGTTGTAACCTGAGTGGACGGCTTCTTCCCAAGATGGGTACGCAAGGTTCGGAAAAACCATTCCGAGGGCAGGGCCTTTCTCCCATGGGCTCGGCATTTGGATCTTGGAACAAGCCGATGTGAGCTGAGGGTCTTCATCCGTTCGAAAGCCGAGTTCTCTCATTAAAAGCCCTACGACAGCAATGGCACAGTCTTCGATGGTTGCAACCCACAGCATGTTCTCCAATTGCAGAAGAGAAGCTCCGCCAAATAAAGCCAAAGGAATGAAGGACAGCATCGGCAAAAAGTAGCATGTCAACACCTTGTCTGTCCATGGAGCATCAACCACCGAATGATCACGACAACATCTCCACCAAGTGCGAAGACACATCGACTCACAGCTTGTCTGAACTCTAACATAAAGCTAGTTCTGTGTAGCTGTTCCGATATGTTGAGATGCACTGGCTGTAATTTTCATGTCGGTATGTTCCTAAACATATACTGGTAAGTTCCATGTACGACGAAATGCACCGACCAATTGTCTGATGACCACAGCTCAGACTCTGGGCAGCATGCCAAACATAGGAGTCGAATGCCGCATCTCTGGCAAAAATTCAGTTGCCTGAGCGTGGGTTCGCAGTCTTGGTCCGAGCTGTACAAGAAGAAGACTTGTTGCTTTCGTTTCCACAAGGACCGCTGCGGGCCGTCGTCCACATCGTCTAGATCGCCGATGCCGCCTGCAATGCGGGATGCGTTTCAACTCGGCCGCAGTTTCGAAATCATCAAGAAGACGACAAATGGACATTGTCTCCAAGATAAGCAGTGTAATCCATTCGCACGCCAATCTTCCTAGCCTTGGCTCTCCATCTGCAAATATCTTCCACCTTCTTCCCGTTCACATTCAGCCATCCTCAGTCGTGTGCGATACCCCTAGTTGGACGGTAGTTTTGCATCGGACTGAAACAACACAACCAACAATCATGGCACGCAACGCTGCGCGATTCGTGACATTATACGGCTGAGGCCATCACCTGCTGCCAGGCAAACACAAACTTTTCCAAAGACCACGCCAAGCAACACTGCTTTCTTGAAGTGAGCCACAATGAGCCACGGCCACAATTCAAAGCTTGCCAAGAACTACATCAACATAAAACCGTCGTGCACACCAGCGGGTCTACAAACACAGGGACCTACGTGACAGTTGAACCCGTTGGAAAACCAGAGGCTCTGAACTCAACAAGCGAAATTCACACACTCTATGTGCTGATCGTTTCACCGACGGCGCAACGCACGCCGGAGATCTGGTTTTTGTTCTGCTGTGACTGCGTGACCTCCACCCTCTACAAGGCAGAATAAACGCCAAAATTTAAGTGTGGTAATACTTTGGCATTTGTCACTTGTCATTTCATAGATCGCCACCCTCCCTCCCGGCAGTGTCATGTAAAATAAAATACAGCCAGGAGAGTTCTCATGATCTCAGAACAGTCGTGTGCGCAATTTGACGTTCACATCGCCCCATACATTGCCATGCTGCTTTTTCGCTTTTCTCAGCGGTGTAGTGGAAACAACAAGAACACAAAATCACGGAGGATACGACTAAAACAACCAAACACAAGCTTGCGACTCTTTTTGTGCTCATGCTAGGAAGTTGTCCATGTGCACTGCCGGGAACAAAGCTTTGAGTTCTCAAAAGCCGATGGGAACATACCATCCAGCTCATCAGCAGATGTCTAAAGCAAACAATTCCCCAGTTTCGTTATTCGTTTCCATTGGTCCGAAGCTCACGACTCACGTTTTGCCCCCATGCTAGGAAGTTGTCCAGTGGCAGTGCCGGGTACAAAGCTTTGAATTCTCAAAGCCGCAGGGAATGTGCCCGGCAGCTCATCAGCAAATGTCTGGCCTGAGCAGAAAGTTCCCACATCACTACAAGCTGTTAACCAGTGTATTGCGCTTGCTGGTTGAGAACAGGCGGAATCGATTTGTTCAATGTTCACGCTTGTGCCAGGGCGGCTCAAGCGGCAACCACAGCAGTATTATGTGAGAAAGCCTTCTGGATGCAAATCTTTGTTCTCTTTGGAACGTCCATCTGCCACGGCGTCACGATCAAGTGAGTCGCCACTCCCAGCCTGAAGGAACCTAAGTTTAAGTCCAAAAGCAAGATCAAAAGACGCCTGAGGGTCTGCATGGGAAACAAGGTCGACCAGGTTAACATGCAAGATACAAGCACTTTGTGACTCCAGTGCCTTGCCGCCCTCATCCTTGCCTTCGCCTCCTCGCCCCGCGCGTAACTTCAACTTTGAAACAAAATCTGCCGGTTTTGCAGCGACGTGCACGGAATCCACAAGCCTTATTGGCATTTGTGTGGTGGATACGGTTTTACAAAAAGCCAAGCAGCGAGTTCGTATGGACTTGCTTCGTTGGAGAAGGCGTTCTGTTGAACTTCTTTCAAACCATCGGCAAGGACCTCCTTTCTGGAGGCCCGCCAATGGAAATCCATGTTGCAAGTCAGATGGCTTGGATTAACATTTGATTTGTGCGTAGACATTCCTCCGGGGTCGACATGCTTTCCGCAGATTTGTACGAAGAGCTTTCTGATGAGCTTCTAGCTTTGGTCTACCACGTGTTGTAGAGTGGCTACAACAGAACAAGAAGAATCTCCTCCATTTTTAGAAAGCTGCCCGGTGCCTTGCAGACTGGCGTGGGAAGCAAGGAGTTCCAGCGAACCTGACAACCGTCTGTTGCACCAGAACCGAGGACAGCTTTGTCCAAGACTATGCAAGGCAAGTTCAAAGTGAATAATAACTGGCTGAATGACTTGGTGAGCGGCAAGCCGCGATCAATGGACTGTCCACTTCAAGGTTTGGTCAAGTTTCGACGTGAGAACGCACTGCCGACACGATGGAACGTTGTTGCAAACTAAAAAAGCCAAAGCCTTTCTTGCAAGCGATCGACTCAAAACGAGACAACCGACGCGACGATGCAATGACGATGACGACGACAACGACAACACGATGCAAGGTGAGACGATGCGATGACGAGACGACCATGATGACGCGAGAAGCGACGAACAAACAGACCAAAAACAGCGGTGCTCTGGTGGACAAGATTACGTTCGTGCTGCGTGCGGACGTCTCAGCAAAAAAGTGATAAATGTTCTTGCGCTCGTAAAGTGATCTGAGACAACGAGAGCCAAAGCATGGTCTTTTGCAGCCGTTTTAGTCCCGCCGAACAACATTTGTTTGGCGCTTCTGTTCTTTTTTTCGTCAAGCCGTCGAAAGTCCAAGAGTCGAACGAAGCTTGGTGGAAGAGTTACAAAGTGTCTGAACCATGCAGACTTGATGCAAATCATGAAACCGAGTCTTCACTGCTCTTAAACTGCTGTACTTTGCTGCGCTGAAATGCATCTGAACCCTTGAGTTCACAAGAGCTCATCTGCAGGATTGGCGAGAGGCACACGAACTAAGTTGTTGCAAAAGGTCAACCTGTTCAGGTGTGCGCATGCACTGGACTTCACTGACAATTATGTTCTATTCGATCGGCTTGTGTGAGGCAGCCACCTTACCTTGGAGGGAAATTTGCATTGCTGGGTGTGAGTTCGCCTGCTTTGAAGCTGGGTATCGGGTCGGAAACCAGCAAGCCCATTATTGCCAGCAACTGCGTTTCGCCTGAAGACGAGGAGGACTTTGAGAAGCAGCACATTATTCGCAACTATCTATCCAAGGCCTGCAGCAATTGCAGGCCACGGCACCTTGCGCCAACTGCTCTCCAGCCGAACGGACTTGCACTTCTCTCGCTGTCCCTCTTTGCCGGCGTGCGAAGTAAAGTCAGCCCTTAGAACTTCAAGAGCTTCGCCAGCACACAAACTGGGTCTTACCCCGCTGCTTGCAGTTTCCATTGCGCCAGTGCAATTTTGTGATCCGGTGCTGCAACTGCCGGAAGGGCGTATTTTCGACCTCTTGTAGTGTGAGTTGGCGCGCTCTGAGATCTGGTGGTGGTTTCTGTTGGATGAGCTAGATGGCCTCAAGCTATTGCTTTCCAGTGCCAAGAAAGGACAAGTCACCAATCGGGAACATTCCACACAAAATCGCCTGAGAGGCTTAAAAACGAAGAGAATACATGTTCACGAAATCGCTTTGGGGGGCTTAAACGCAATACTAACCTGCTCGTTTTTTGTGAATTGCACTCTCCGCGCACTTAGATTTGAAAACCTGCCAACTCAAGTTCAACGCAGTTTAACCCAGGTTCAAAACCCAAGTTCCCAGGTTCCAACCTAGGTTCTAACCCAGGTTCCAATCCAGGTTCCAACCCAGGTTTGAACCCAGGTTTGAACCCAGGTTCCAACCCAGGTTAAACCCAGGTTCCAACCCAGGTTGAACCTGACGTTCAACCCAGGTTCAAACCTGGGTTCGAACCTGGGTTCCGAACCCAGGTTCAAACCTGGGTTTGAACAACTCCGTCTTCAAAATAGTTGTTCAAACCTGGGTTTCGAAACCCAGGTTCCGGAACCCAGGTTCAACCCAGGTTTCGAAACCTGCTCTTGAAGAAAGAAATAGTTTGAAACCCAGGTTTAACCTGGGTTCCAACCCCCCCCTCTGGGACCAGCCCGCGAAGTCCACACCGCGCCAATCGGAAATTCCACAGCAAGCAAGCAGAGGCATTGCAGTTTCACGAGCCTGGCGTTAATGAAGGATGTGCAAACAACATTACACATTGACACAAACAACTCGTACTTGCTTGAACACTGTAAGTCACCAACTTCAAGAAAGAAGGTTTGTGGGTTGCAACAATCACAGCGACATGCCTTGTTCTGATACAAAGTTTGGGCAGCTGATGGGAACAAAGGTGGATTTCGAAAATGGAGTCATTAGGTTCGATTTGCATCTTAAGCATTGCACGCTCCCTCAGAGCTGTGCGCGCGTTGCCACTCACACATCCGCTGTTGTGCGCTCTGCGAGGATTCTCATGGAGCGGTACACACCCCGCAGTATGGACAACGGCAGTAGCTGGTTGCAGAGACGCCTCTGGCTGGCGCTGTGGGTGTGATAACGATGAGCGGGCGCAGCAGCCCGGCGCCTGCTGCGCAGTTTGCGGCTCCCGCATCAGCTGCATTGGCACCGACGGGCAAAGTTGGGTTATCCAGTTTTTGTGAAGGTGCGGAGGGGACAGCCACACCAGTTCCGAGAGCCCGGCACGGCTAGGCGGGGCGCAGTATGTGGACTGGCCGCGGGGCATGCCGGCCCCGTCGAAGGAGCGCGCCGAGTTCGCACCTGGGTCAGACGTTTTATCTCCCTGCTCGCGGGGCTATCTCGGCTTGCTCCCCTCTGATTCAGAGCCATCCTGATGACTTGGAGGCAATGGACTAATGGCTCATAACGCCCCTTCAGTCTGTATGCCGACCCAGCTAGCCGACAAGGATTTTTTTTTGGCGTGAGCGGGCCTCGTCGACTACGGCTGTAGCACTCGGTCCCAACAAACAAACAAACCAACAAACAAACGACAAAACAGCGGTGAAACAGTCTGATTAAGAGGACAAAACTAGCTGCGGCGCACAGGCTTTACCTGCGTTAGCCGTTCAGCATCAACTACGGGTCCTCAGCGATCGTTTCACGACAACAGTGGGCCGTCGCCCAAAGCTGTCCAGAACCATCGGTGGAGCCCAAATCCAAGGCTCCGGCCGCCGTTCTCGTTCCGTCGAACAACGGACAGCCCCGAAGTACTGTTGTGTCCCGATCGTGCACGGCAAAGTCCACAAGTCCAAATTTAACAGAATGTTCAATTTTCCCTCATGCCCAATCTACCGCCAGTTTCACTGCGTATCTCCGTAGGTCAAACGTAGGCTCAAGACAGCCTGACAGCAGAGCGAGTAGTGAGAAAAGAATCCGAAGCTCGCGCCGTGCTGTAACAAGGATACTGGTTTAAGGGTTTAAACTTTCATGGTAGCGGAGCTGTTGGCAACGGCCAGCAGCTGATCAAGCAAAGCTCCAGGGAAGTCAGCCACGAGCTGGAAAAGGTGAAAAGTGTGGAACAGGAAGTTACGGTTTACCAAGAGCATCCTGTCGGAGAACAGCGAGGAGTTACGGCTAAGCCAAGAGCACCTTGCAAAGTCGGAGAAAAGCGTGGAAGTGAAGACCTTGGGCCAGATATACAAGGACCTGCCAAAGTGTTGACAAGATGCAAGAGCAACAACAAGCTCAACAGCCACAGCACCAGCCGAACCCCCAGCAGGTGAGGTTGGAACAGCTGATGACTACACTAGGCCAAGCTACAGAAGCTATGGCAAGAGTTGCGCAAGGAACAGCAATGCAGCAAGCGCAATTGTCAACAGCAATGGATGCACTGGCGAAAGCCCAAGCATCACCGAAGGCAGCCCCTACGGGAGGCCAGCCAGCCTCAGTAAGTTTTGATACTGGAGGTAAGATCCTCAAGCCACCGGAATCGTTGAATCCAGCAACGATTGAAGAAGAAGTGTCACAATGGAGTGACTGGTCATTTACGTTCAAGAACTTCTTAGCGTTCATGGACCAAGAATTCCTGAAGGACCTGAAGTCGGCAGAAGAACAAGGAAGTGCGATATCAATGGAGGTGACAAATACATTCTTCAGCAATGATCAAGCAAGGGTGAACAGAGGAACGAAGCTTTACTCAGTGTTGGGCAGTTACTTGAGAAACAGACCTCTGAAAGTGCTGAGAAGCGTGAGCGGGATGAATGGATTCGAAGTGTGGAGAAAGTTGACGGCTGAATTAGAGCCGACATCTCGTTCAAGGAGTCTAGCAATGGCTCAGGCATTGGTTGGATTCCCAGCCATGAGCAAAGGAGCATCGTTGATGGACTACGTCCTGACATACGAGAAGCTCACAGCAGAGTACGAAAAGTTATCAGGCCAGAAGTATGATGAAAACTTGAAGATCGGTACACTGCTGAAAGGAATACCGCAGCACCTCAAGCAGCACGTGATGGTTGATATCACTGATAAGACCACGTACGAAGAGTTAAGAGCAAAGCTGCTACAATATGAAAGAAGCAATCAGACATGGTCAGCTGAAAACATCTTAGGATCGTTGAGTGTTCCAGACCCAACGTCAAACTCAAGCAACAAGACTTACCAAGGACCAATTCCGATGGAACTCGATAGATTGCACATGAGGAAAGGTAAAGGAGATGGAAAAGGAAAAGGTGACAAAGGAGGAAAAGGAAGCCCTTATGGAAAAGGAAAGGACAAAGGAAAGGGCAGAGGATACGGAAAAGGAAAAGGTGGTAGAGGAAGATCAAAAGGAAAAGGAGGGTGGCTCAAGTTTTCGGCTCGAGTGCCACATCTTGTGGCGTAGTGAGTGCTGTCTTAACGGGCTTGGGGCTCTCAACCGGCTGTGCGACCAGGTTCGAGGCCCTCATAATCCCAGCTTTAGCCTCCTTTTGAGCCATAGTGCCCTGGCTTGGGAGTGGCTTCCACCCCTTGCTTTTCGTGAGGCCGCAGCGGACAGGGTCTCCTCTCCGCCTTGACCGGCCAGAAGACAGCAAGGAAGTGAGCAATCACTCCTTAGCCATGGGCCAGAAGCGCCAGTACTTCGTCTGCAAGTGCGGGGCGTGGACGTGGGCAGACAAGGTGCACAGTAGCCCTTACTGCCAGTGCGGCAAGAAGTGGCCGGCACCTGCTCTCAAGCAGAACGGCAGCCCGCGGCCACCGAAGTCCCCCTCGCCTTCTCCTCAGCGCGGCGCCACATCCATTGGCTCAGGAGTGACTGGCACGTCCTGTACCCCGGTAGGGGTGCCCACAGCCTTGGTGAGCTCGAGCTTGGCCTTTTCCACCGCGTTCTCTGCCTCGTGGATCTTCTCGGTTGTCTCCTGGAGCTCCTGCAGCTGAAGGCGGAGGGATTCCTTCGCCTCCTCTATGCTCTCGAGTAGCTTGATCTTCTTGTGGATCAGCACTCGGAGGCGGGAGCTGGCCTTGGTGAGATCCTTGTTGGATTGCATGGCCTTTTCCCCCGGAGACGGCTCCGGACCAGTGGTTGCCTCCACCAGTGCCGTGCGGATGTCCTCCGGCAGGTCATCCTGGCGCTGTACCAACAGGCTCAGGAGAGGGTCGGTCTGGGACTCGACCGCATCGACAAGAAAGAAAGGCGCGAGGAGGAACGCCGCTTGAAGCGCGCCGTCACGACAATCTGGGACCAAATCCCGGAGGATGCACGTGCGCGCCTCACACAAGCGGGATGGAAAGGACCTCCCAAGCAAAAGGATGCGGTCGAGTCCCAGACCGACCCTCTCCTGAGCCTGTTGGTACAGCGCCAGGATGACCTGCCGGAGGACATCCGCACGGCACTGGTGGAGGCAACCACTGGTCCGGAGCCGTCTCCGGGGGAAAAGGCCATGCAATCCAACAAGAATCTCACCAAGGCCAGCTCCCGCCTCCGAGTGCTGATCCACAAGAAGATCAAGCTACTCGAGAGCATAGAGGAGGCGAAGGAATCCCTCCGCCTTCAGCTGCAGGAGCTCCAGGAGACAACCGAGAAGATCCACGAGGCAGAGAACGCGGTGGAAAAAGCCAAGCTCGAGCTCACCAAGGCTGTGGGCACCCCTACCGGGGTACAGGACGTGCCAGTCACTCCTGAGCCAATGGATGTGGACGAACTGGTCACCATCCTTGGCCTGACCCTTTCTGACGAGCAGCAGGAGAAGCTGGCCGAATACCGCGCCAAAACCCACAAAAGGCAGAGGCCTTCCGAGGTTGGCGCGCCTCCGGGGCTGCCTGCTTTCCACCTTGGCTTGCAAGGCACGCAGCCGACAACCTACAGGGCGTCAACCCCTGCCGGCCGCACCCGCCGGCCCGGCCGGTCAGTCCAAGGGGGCTGAAGGTGCATCCGGCCTCCAGCGAAGGCGCACTCCCCCGAAGAACGGCGAGAGCCTGGCCGGCGAGGAGGAGAGCAACAAGCAGGTCACAGAGTAGGGAGTGAGCCTCCACGGCGGACCAGGGAGTGGAGGTGGTTTTCCCACTCCAGCATCCGCCAACGAGAGAGGCCAAAACACCCCTCATGATTTTGTCCATCCGGCCCATCGTAGCTGCCAGTTTTGTAAACGACAACCGGAAACCCTGTCCTCAGTGGATAACTGTGTTAGTGGTCCCAGGTTTCCCTTCAACTTCTTGCGTGGTTCCGCCACAGCAGTTTTTAACCGACTCTGAGGTGACTTTTCCCTTCCAGGTCTCCGAGTCTGACAAGAGGACCTTGGAAGCCACTTCCAGGACGGAGTTTCTCCACAACCGGCGTCCCGGGTGCAGGTATGAGCCACAGCACCTTGGCAACTGCCGGAGCCGTCACTTTCTCCAGGCACGCCGGATCCGCAGATCCAACGCTGTGTTCTGGGCAACATGGCAAAGGTGCACTCGGAGACACCGAGTCCAGAGACACAGGTGCTGGTGACCACTTCTGGGCCTCATGCACTCTCTGCCTCCAGCCTCTACAATGGTGGCCGAATCCAGCCAAACAGGCTAAAGGGCAGGACAGAAGGGGTCCTTCGGAGCTCTGGCTTCAGACAGGTCCAGCAGTTTTGCCGCCAAGGCTGGGATCATGCCTCAAACTCTGCCCGCTGTGCAACGGTTCCTGTCTGGAAATCAGCGACAACCTCACAGGCTGTTTGCATTGCTCAGGAGTGGCCCTCAAGCCCACGGACCCTCAGCCTCCGACCCTCTTTCCGACGGAGAGGTTCTCTCAACCCCCGGATCCACCAGGCAGCAAAATGCGCCCTGCTGAGTGCAATAGAGGGAAGGTGTGGGGTTCTGCCCATGCCTGCCGTTGAGCAAGTCGAAGCCCGAGGAATGACGTTGGCCGGATCCTCGCTCTACGCACATACCAAGGCAAGAGGGAAGGCCAAATCATGTCAATAACGGACATCGACGTATGTCGACGTGCCGGCAAGGTTAGGAGTCCAGAGGGGAGAAGAGCACAGCGCAGGCGCCCCTCCTTGGCCCCAAGTCTAATGGCCCAGAAAGTGCGGCGCGACCAGTTGGCGTCGACCCTGCTCATAGACAACCAGAAGCGGCAAGCACCAAAGGCTGAAACGGATGAGCCTCCAGACCACAATAGGAGGCCAATGCAGCGGGTGAATAGTTTGGAAGTGGCATCAGCCTTCCAAATCGGAGATGCGACCGCACCCCGAGGACGAGACCAATCGATTCACTGTGCGCAACTGTGGCGAATTGGATGCCGGCGTCCAACGCCGCCAATCGCCGCCCACAAAGCGTGTGGCCAGGCCGGGATGCGGACCGTAGGGAAAAACTTGTTGTGCGTCGAGACCCAGCACAGCGCAACTCAGGAACGTTCCAAGAACGGCAACGGGTCGCCCCTGACGAGGCTGGGGCCAAGTCAAGACGGTGCAGCTGCTCGGATGGGACGGGCCCCCCCTGCCGCGACCTGATGCTGGTGGCTTACGAGCTTGCACCCGGCGCAATCCTCGGTGCAGTGGCTTATTCCATTCCAACCCTTGTTGTTTTGTGCCCTGCGCGTTTGCCCAGGTGTCCGCTCGGCATGGCGGCTGGACTCGAGGCGCGCAGGGAAGCTGGGCACATGGACGACGCGCCCGCAGCTGCAAAGCAGGTTGCCGAAGCCATGGAAGCTGCACCTAGTCTCGGATATATTTGGATTCGTAACGACAGCGAAGACTATGACGGCACAGAGATCATTGTCATAGGCTTTTCAGGGCCTGATCCGAAAAGGGCCTGCCTCAGGGCCTTGGGCATCCTAACTGGTTCGGACGAGGGCGTGTTTACTGCAGCAACTGCAGCCAAGGTCCAGCAAATAGATATGAAGACGCGGTTGAGAAGCGGCTTCGACCGGGAGGCGGGTGAGGAAGAGAGCCCGCTTGATGACAGCTGCACCAACTGTGTTCAAGGACAACTTGCGGTGTGCCGCAACCACGGAGCAGGGCGGCCTAGGTTCTCCCCCCCGTCCGCTACAATGCGCAAGGTCAAAATCGGCAGGGGTGCAGACTGAGCGCACACGGTGTGTGTCGCCGATGCAATGCATGGGGGAAGCCAAATTGGGTCGCCCAAGACAGTCAAGGTCACGGTAAGAGTCTGGCCGTGCTGAGGCCAGCATCCACGCGTCCCAGGCTGCTTGGCGAGTGGAGGCCCAAACAGGGGATCCACCAGGCAGCAAAATGCACCCTGCTGAGTGCAATAGAGGGGAGGTGCGGGGTTCTGCCCATGCCTGCCGTGGAGCCTGTCGAAGCCCGAGAAATGACGTTGGCCGGCTCCTCGCTCTACGCACTTACCAAGGCAAGAGAGGAGGCCGAACCATGTTAATAACGGACATCGACGTATGTCGACGTGCCGGCAGTGTCAGGAGTCCCGAGGGGAGAAGAGCACAGCGCAAATCGATGTAAGGCTTTGCCGGTGGAAGCCGTTCAGCAGACTACGAAGCCACAGCGACCGATCCGAAGCAACAAAGAGCCGACGCTCTGAGCCGCCCAAAGCAGCAGGTGGAGCAAATCCAAGCTCCGGCAGCCGTTCTAGTCTTGACAGACAACGGACAGCTCCTGTGCTTTGTTTCATCACGATCGGGTACACCAAAATCCAAAAGTCCAATGCCCACCGTGGCAAGCGGCTTCTAGACGTGATGCGGAGCCAGAGTCTTTGCGACGCAAAGCCGGCCAGATGCGACCGCACCCCGAGGACGAAAACAACCGATCCATGGTGTGCAACAGTGGCGAGTTGGATGCTGGCGTACAACGCCGTCAATCGCCCTAATGCGTGTGGCCAGGCCAGGATGCGGACCGTAGGGAAAACTTGTTGTGCGTCGAGACAGCACAGCGCAGCTCAAGCACGTTCCGAGAAGACAACGGGGCGCCCATGATGAGGCTTGAGCCAAGGCAAGGCGGTGCGGCTGCTCAGATGGGACGGGTTCCCTCCCCCCCTGCCGCGACCTGATGCTGGCTTCGAGCTTGCACCAGGCGCAAGCCTCCGTGCAGTGGCTCATTCCATTCCAACCCTTGTTGTTTTGCCCTGTTCGTTTGTCCAGGTGTCCGCTCGGCATGGCGGCTGGACTCGAAGCGAGCAGGGAAGCTGGGCACATGGACGACGCGTCCGCAGCTGCAAAGCAGGTTGCCATGCCATGAAAGCTGCACCTAGTCTCGAATATAGTTGGAGTCGTAACGACAGCGAAGACTATGACGGCGCAGATATCATTGTCATAGGCTTTTCTGGGCCTGATCCGAAAAAGGGGCCTGCATCAAGGCCTTGGGCATCCTAACTGGGTCGGACGAGGACTTGTTCACTGCAGGAACTGTAACCAAGGTCCCGCAATTAGATATGAAGACGCGGTTGAGAAGCGGCTTCGACCGGGAGGCGGGTGAGGAAGAGAACCCGCTTGATGACAGCTGCACCAACTGTGTTCAAGGACAACTTGCGGCGTGCCGCAGCCAAGGAACAGGGCGGCCAAGGTTCCCCCCCCCTTCCTCTACACTGCGCAAGGGCAAAATCGGCGGGTGTGCAGTCTGAGCGCACGCGGTGTGTGTCGCCGATGCAATGCATGGGGAAGCCAATTGGGGCGCCCCAGACAGCCGAGGTCATGGTAAGAGTCTGGCCGTGCTGTGGCCAGCATCCACGCGTCCCAGGCTGCTTGACGAGTGCAACAAGGCCCCAACAAGGGATCCACCAGGTAGCAACACGTACCCTGCTGAGTGCAAGAGGTGGAAGGTGCGAGGTTCTGCCCATGCCTGCCGTTGAGCAGTTGAAGCCCGAGCGATGGCGTTGGCCGAATCCTTGCCCTACGCACTTACCAGGTAAGAGGGAAGGCCAGACCATGTCAATAACGGACATCGACGTATGTCGACGTGCCGGCAAGGTTAAGAGTCCCGAGGGGAGAAGAGGACAGCGCAGATCGATGTACGGCGACATGCCGGCAGCTTAATGCAACCCGCCGCATCGAGGACCCAGCTTGAACACGCCACGCTGGCAGGTGTCCCCCCCCCGGGCAAACAGCCGGCAGGGGGGAAAACCAATCCGGTGTCACTGAGAAAGAACATCGACGTATGTCGGCGTCCCGGTGGCTCCACACGTCGTGACTGGTCGGGACGCCGCGGTTGCCTGTCCGTTTCATTAGTCCCGTGTTGCTCTGGCAAGGGATCACCGAAGGCCAAAACAAGACATAACGACGTATGTCGTCTGTCACAAGCGGGGTGAGCAAAGATCATCGGGCAGAGCCGGACGCCTCATCGGACGGCCAGCTGTCTAGCAGGGGTTGCATGTCGCGCCCATTCGAGGGGAAGTGACTCTCGTTCAATAGGTAAAGCATCTGGTAATTTCGGGCAGTGTACATTTCCTTCAAAGTCCTCACTATGAAGGTGTAGCATGAGCTCTGTGGAAATGCAGGGCAGTTGGAGGCCGGGCCCGAGACCCTCCCTCTGAGGAACTCATCTGCCGCCGCCTTCCAACGTTCTTGCGCCCGAGGGTGCCTTAGCCGGAACCTTGGGCGCGTGCCATCAGGCAGAGCTGTGTGCGGCCTTCCTTCTGGGCGACCAACCTTTGGAGGAGGACCAACGCTTTGGCCTCCGTTGCGTCGAAGTGCGCAAAGCGCCACGCGGGTCGGAAAATAGAATTTCTTTTTCTGCGGTCCACGGATCCAGTAGTACCGTGCGGAGATTCCAGCCTCAGAAATTGTCACTGCACGGAGGTGTGGAGTAGGCCTGCAGCCTGGATCGCCAGCCGTAGTCCCAGCGGAACATCTGCCAGCGGGAAAAGCAGTCGAAAGGTGCCACGATTGGAGCTAGGATACGCAAACATGCACGGTTCGAACTCTCCGCGTCTGGCTGGGACCATCACGCGGCCCGCGATGGCAATCTGCGGACGGCCTATCAAG